TTTTTAGACTATGAAGGAAACATCTTATGGTTTTATACTTGTACTAAAAAAGTATCACCACTATACGTTTTTGAAGATAAACGATGCTATAAATAAATCCCCATCTTTTATAAGAATAAAGTACATTTCGTTGACACACTTTCACGAAGAACCTATTTCTGGGATACCGCAGTTCCATGTGGATCAGAAAATAGCCACAACGTAGTACAGCTAAACCCTGATGAAGATAAATATTACCTTCTCACCCCATATCCCACATTAATGCAATCACTCAAAAAATTTTCACCAGAAAGCATTCGCGCTATCGCCCGAAACCCAAATATAGACTTACAATCAATAGGAATATACTCAAAATCAGATATTCAACATCACATTAGAACACAACAATTCCAAGAATTATTAACACAAATGGACACAATACAAAGACAATCAATTGACCAAAACTTACGCAAACTTGCCGAAACCGCAGGATTTGCTGACATCTATACGCAAGACTATAGCGGATATTTTAAAGACATTAAAGATTATATATATCTAAACGGTGAAAAATACCGTCCCCAAGATATATCACCTATCAATATTTTTAGCTTTGTTACACTCAAGAATGAAATTCTTGATTTTCTAGGATGGCCCTACTACATCTTAGAAAAACTGACTATTTTATACGCAATGTTTAACTTTATTGGATTTCTTTTTTCACTCTTAAAAGGAATCTATAACACATGTGCTATACACACACAAGTCAATAGACAAGCAAGTGTAGCACGCATACTATTTGCAGGATTTTTTGGAATCTTTTCTACATCTATAAACAAAATTCTTTTAGACGCACAAATAAAAGAATATAACACAAAAATAGCAACAAGACAGAACACATACGACGAAGAACATAACAATGTAGACACAACACCAACAGCACCACAGTTACCACCCCTACCACATAACCATCCATTATCCCTAGTCCCACGTAATTTTCGAAATTTAGCCATAACACATAATAATTTTAGACCAACCATATCACAAAGCCCCATCCAACATATAATGACACACCACTCACAAGATGAAAATACTAATAAACAAATTATAGAACAACCCCATACCACCGCTTTTCAGTCTCAAAATAACAATTTTTTTAGCCCACGATGAGCCGACAACTTGGATCCCTACACCGATCAAATTCCCACCCAACCAACCTCACCACTCCAATCCCAATAATACCACTTTTTGCTTTTCCGCCACCCGATTTCCCATCCAGTAATGTAATATCAGGCATGAATTCCGATACTAATTCACACATCTCAGTTTTATACTCCATCTCACAACTCAATAACCCGAATATTGAAACCCCCGATGAATTTGCCGACTCTGAACCATCTCCATCAAATAATTTTCCCACCAACCCCTCAATTTTTTCCCAACCCCCTTTTCAACCCATATTACCAAATAACCCTGACCCATCCAATTCTACACCCTCTTATGCTTCCCAAGTCACTCCAACCTATTCTTCACTTCACTCAGACCAATCATCTCATTCTCCAGATACCCCCCGAATCTCCCCAGAACTAGATAACTTCATTACCCTACAACAACAACCCTATCACCTTGACATCCCAACCATAAACCAAATCTCATCCACAATAGATTCATCCAACCCTCCTACCCCTACAGCTACAGCCTCTTCAATTTATACTGAATCATTAGCACCATCATCCACAACTACTGAATCTTCACTCAGCACTAATAGAGCTTACCGCACTTTTAAAAGGAAGTTCCCCAACCATCCTTTCCCAGCGAAACCAGGAACAGCCCGTGAATATATCAACCATCCACAACACACTAACACAAAAGAATTTTTAGCTATCACCTTACCCTCATTTCCACAATACACCTTAAACACCCCTCATGACACTAACGAGACACGTAACTTTGTAGACGAATACGTTTTAATGCCTACCCTTCCTTGGACCTCATATTATCATTTTACAAATCCCCTTTGCTTACCTTTATCTAACACTCATATCGATATAGAACGAAATAAGGACATGCTATATCGACTCACTACAACACTAACACCTAGACAATTTACTTACATTGGATATAAAAAATCACTAAAAACACACACTGCACCCCGAGCTAATGAATATACACTAGAATATTACGATCATAACATCATCAGAACTAACCAAGATCAATTCTTAGACGACGATCGCTTCGCTAACCCACAAATCACCGAGAAATTTTTCATTAAAACACCATATGTATTTACACTAAATATCTTCGATCGCAAGTTTGACCACATTATTTCAGAAGCACTAACAGACACGCAAGCCTACGAAAGTTTTAAAGAACGCTTCCAAATATTTTCACTAACCTTTCATTTCCTTGCACCACATGAAAGAGATTTGCACTGCTCACACGATATTATGTTGCGCACTAAACAAACTCACACATATACATATTATCGTTTTATCCAAAATCACTTCGACCTACACACCCCCTCCAGACAACCACACCATCGTTTTCAATTCATCAATTCCAAATACACCTCACCATTCTTTCTTAACTTCACATATTGCATTAAAGATACTAACCTTCATGGTATTCTTCGAAATTATGATCCCATAACCCAAATGTATATCTTTTGTCCCATCACCAAGACCTTCAATGCAGAAGAATCCCGACCCTTCCTCATCCCACAAGAGTTTGTACAACCTATAGAAATCCCCATTTTAGAATTCATCCATAACACTAAATTCAACCACAAATTATATAATCTAATCCAAAACACACCTTATGAATTTGCAGTTGGCACTGAAGAACTAACCACCATTAAGGCGCTTCAATTGCTTTGGCCACTGCTTCAAACTAAAAATATCATCCGCATTTTAGTCAAATTACTAACAACTTCAGATCTCATCCACGACATCTTCCCCCACGGTTTCTTCCCCGACGACTAACAGGTAAGTATGAATTATACATATTACTAACTAATTTAAATATTAGAAACTCACCATTCTTTATCCATGTTTTCTTTAGAATTTTAGCCTTCATCCTCGATCATCTGAAAAATTCACAAAGGAAAATAAAAATTGAAAACTTCTTCAAACTGTTTAAAACCCTATTAAATTTTTGCACCAACAATTAAATAAATATAATACCAATGCAGTAAATTAATTTATAAATTTTTCCCCCACAAGCAGTAAATCTAATAATGATGAAAATTTGTAACTTAATTTTCCCCAACAACTAGCAATAAAATTAAAAATTCTATGTAGTAAATTAATAAGAAGCAAATGCAGTACTAACCTTTTGATATTTTCATTCACTCGCACAAGAATTCTATCCAAACTCGCACAGCTCGCCCACGAAGAATTGTTTAAAATAATGAATTTTAGTTTCAAGCTTTCAAACTCGATAACTCTAACACAAGATAACACGTTTCAAACTTTCCTTTAACCCGGTTGGAAAGGAATTATATACTAAACAAAACTAACCAATGCAGCTTACTAAACACCACAACACATAGCATAACAGCATGACTAAGAAAAGGAAACCAACGGTACCCAAACCGGATTAACCCAGTTTAAAACTGGATAATTTATTCTTTTGAAGACTATTATAAAGTCTAAGAAAGAAATAATAAAACACAAAAAAGTCGAAAGACAAACCCATACCACAAACAATTTGATTTTTGAAAAAAGGACACAACCAACAAAACATAAGAAAAACCACAACAAACCCAACATAAAACGTTGTCACAAAACAGGACCTCTCACAAAAACCGCATGCAATCATACTCCCACTCCTGGCCTAACCCACCAGAAGAGGACGTCCTGAGCATGCTCTATAGCCGGCCTAACCCACCGCGCTACATCCACGCTTTGTGACCATACTCCTATTTTTAATAAGAGCTACTCAAGGGTGAGTAACTCTTTAAAATAACTGAACTAAAACAAAAAGCTTTTGTGAAAACAACTAACTAAAATCATAATTAAAAAATATTAAACTAATAAAAGTTTTATAAAATGTAAATTACATTATGCAATATATAGATCAGAATACAACACCAAGGACGAACATCCAAAGACAAAACGACCCTACTACACTCGAGAAAGAATGGCCAACTACAATCAATATGCCGCTCACAATCACAACTCAAAGGATTTAGAGTACGACTTGACTTCGCAGAAAAGGACTTCATTGAACTAGACCAATGACCACCTCGATGTTCAAGTATACGTACAGATCCGAGTAACCAGGCATCCCCTCCACGCACAATCTCCACGCCATTCCCAGACAAGGTCAAACACAAAGAAGTTCTCACCAATGAAACAGAAAAACCTGACATAGCCAACCATTCTGAAATCAGATTTGAGTTTGTTGCGAAAACCCAGTCGTTGTCATGAGAAGACACAACGATTGAACCTGGAACTTCTCTAACAAGAGAACCCACAAGAAATATGATGTTCGCCAAAAACCAACGTCCATCATCCATCCTTTGAACTACAGAAAAACTATTCTAAAAAACTCTGTAAAACCCGGATGGGTGGAACCTGATCTAAACTACATTTTATGATTGGATAAATTAGATATTTTACCACTGTAAAGTATTTAATATTAACCAATCATGATCCATACAACTAACAACCCACTTATTTGTAAGTGCTGGAATTACTTGTAATTTCAGAACCAGAGAGATTTGAATTTAACTTAGAAATTAGTTAAACTCTCCCGAGTACTTCAGCAGCCGCAATAAACCAGTATACCCTAGATCTATTGAGCCTAGCAGAGACTAGTTAAACAACCTGAGACTAGATAGTATAAGAGTAAGATTAGGATCGGTATTAGACTAAGAAGTTGCACGAATCTATCCGGCCGAAAATAAGATAGCGTGACGAGCAGACGGTGTACCCTATCCGAAATTACTCTATGAGTTATACCCATCGGTCCTAACTCAATTTCTTTGGTTCCCCTTTTAATAGTGTAATGATTTGTTTCAGGGATGTTGCAACTGCGCCTTATCGAGCTCTGATGCCTCGCGCCAAGAACATGAAAGACATACCTCAGAAAGTACGTGCATGATCATGTGACTCCTAAGCTTTGATCCAAAAAAATCAATGGATGCAAAAACACGGGGGAAAATGTAGAGTTTTCAAAAAGTTCGACAAAAACTAGAAACGCCAAATGTGGAGTCTTATATGAACAGACAGAACAAAAACGAATCGTTGTGGGAAGGGAGCTAAATTGGTCCAGGGTAACTAAATCCAGGAAGATTAAAGTTCAGGGGCTGAAATCGGTCCATCCACTTATCCGAGTGTTGTTTTAGCCGACGATCGGTTGGAAGAACAGAATCAGGAGTCAGGTGGGACACACTAACAGGTGGAGACTGTCCACGTGGCTGGGCACTGACCTCCTCGGCTCCTCCCAGGCAGTCAGAGCCACTGTACACATACCCTCAGCAGAAATATTCTCCAAAGTCGACCCCCTAGGTGAGACACCACGTGAAAGAGCAAGGGGTCTGGGGGGGGGGGCTGTTTGGACTGGGAAAGGGGGGGATTGATTGACTTTCAATTTTTCTGCTTCTATTGGTTTTAGTATCTTAAATGACGTAGTGTGCACGAGAGTTTTTCTAGGGAGGAGTAGTCGAGCAGTATTTTGCGAAATTTTTTAGATTGACCAGTTTGAACCCAAAGACCCTATTTTGCTGCGCGCGCTGGTTTTTCGACACTATCTCCCCTCAAATGGTGCTGTTTGAAAAAAAGTTGAGGTTGGTTAACCAAAAATAGCTGGCATATAAAAGTACCAAAAAGAGAGCTTATAAAAAAAATTAAACTAAGACTGAACGAACGCGGCCGCCCGCTCCTCGGCAAGCTACAGATGATGTACGAAATTTATGCTTGTTTTTTTTATGTTCTTGCTATTTTGCTTTTATGGCAGTTCCATGATTTGAGGGCCATTACGATAAATAATCCAACAACAAATGTTTCGGCATCGTAAGGTTTTTGTACAAAAAAGGATCGTACCTGCTTCTGCAGGGAAAAAGTTGATTAGAAAACTCCTCCGCCTTGCTGAGTGGCCCGAATAATAATCAAAAATTAGCAGAGGAAAAACCTACTAGCTTAATATCTTGCAGGTTATGCAACAGAAGCAACAGACAATGACAATCTTAGTAAAGCAGCAAGTGACGAAGATGATCTCTATGGAGTGATTGACGACGACGCAGCTTCGGATGTTGAGGCGGCTCTCACAAACGAAGCTGAACCCGAATTGGCGTTTACAGGCGAAGGAGGCGAAGAGCCGACTAGAGTCGAGACACCCGGGTCTTCGTTGCCCCCGATTTCTCGCCAGTCGAAAACAGCAAACTCTTCTGGCAGAAAAACCAGGTAATTGTGAACATTATGTCTAAGTGAACTTTTGAAACGATTGCAAACAAATGTTGGAAACTTGCTATGAAAACTTAAAAAATATATGTTTCAACCGAATGAAAGCTAGAAAACTAAGTAAATATTAAGTTTAAAGCGACGATGAAACGGCTTAGTCTCCGCGTAACAATCTCAAGGTCAGCTGTTTGAGGCCTACTGTATCAGTGTTTTTGTTGTTTGAGGGTGAGGCACCGCAACCCAGCCCAGAATTTTTTTAGCCATAGGCTCAGAACAGCGTTTTTCCTTAAAAACAGCTCGTATGTTGGTTTTTTCCCTCATGGAAAAATTGCTTAAATTTAATTAACATTCGTTAACTATTCGTTAAGTTTATCATGCAAATAAATTTTGCAGAGCTCTGACGGAAACTGAACGTGAGCCCAAACCAGTTACAGTCAGATCATTCACTCCATTGCCCACATCTGCAGAAGACAACTCAAAACCGGGTTGGTTATTTGGAACAAATAAGGCACCTTTTTATGATATTAGTGAAGATCACATTAGTAAAAACTAATACCCTTTATTGCACCGTATAGAACTGTTTTATGTCTTCTACCAAGTTTAAACAAGGAATTTTCAGTTCAAGCTTTTATCTCAAGTATCTAATTAAAAATTGAAGAAAGCAATGTACCGAGAGTTATACAATTAATAAACCAAATCAGGGGTGAATCTAAGACTTTCTCGAGGGGGTGAGTTTTCAAAAAATGCTTGAAAATTTTGTCTACTTTTTTAGGTCGACCAAAATGGTTTTCCGAGTTCTCGCAAATCACTATAAAGACCCTAATTTGACCAAAACTGAATGTCAATCTTTTGGTTGATGAGGGGGTGAAATCGTTGAAAGAAAAAAGTCCTCCCCACTACTCCGGACCCTCCCTTTCCATAAATACGCCCGAACCAAATCAAAGAATTCAATTTTTAGAGTTCTTCCTGAATTGTTTTGGTTTCGACTTCGAACTGAACTACTCGGTGTTGATTCGATCCAAATTCCTCCACCGACTGATCCTGGGCGGGGGTCGAACCAACGCCGCCGGACTCAAGTCAGCCAAGCGACAGTTCACAAAACGACAATCAATGCTGTGAGTCAAGTACATTTTTTTCAAGCAAATAATAATAAATGATTCAACTAATTATCAAATGTTGAGTTAGGACCGATGTGGTTAACTCATAGAGTAATTTCGGATAGGCTACACCGTCTGCTCGTCACGCTATCTTATTTTCGGCCGGATAGATTCGTGCAACTTCTTAGTCTAATACCGATCCTAATCTTTACTCTTATATCTACTAGTCTCAGGGTGTTTAACTAGTCTCTGCTAGGCTCAATAGATCTAGAGTATACTGGCTTATTGCAACTACTGAAGTTCTCTTGGAGAAACTAATTTCTAAGTTAAATTCAAATCTCTCTGGTGCTGAAATTACATGTAATTTCAGCACTTACAAATAAGTGGGTTGTTAGTTAGATGGATTATGATTGGTTAATATTAAATATTTTACAGTGGTAAAAAATCTAATTTATCCAATAATAAAATGTAGTTTAGATCAGGTTCCAATGTGACAAGTATATTTTTCTCACAGCACCATTATCTGGAGAGTGTCTTCAAAATTTTTTGAATGGCCGTTGATGGCTACATTTAAAGTGAATGGGGCGGAGGGCGCAAAAACTACATTTGTCGTCCAAAACTTTACTAAAAAATTACCTAGAACATCTGGTGCTAAAATTGCTGCTACTCGGTTTTTTTGGCTTAACTGGGTCTCTATGAGGTTTTGGGGAGAACTTCAGCATTCAAAACAGCTGGCCTAAAATAGTCGGCAAAACAATGCAGTGCGCTTATTACTGACTGATTTTTAACTGAAGTTTCTTTCAGAATGGCACATGGACTCGTGAAAGAGGTAGTGCGAGTGAACACATTCTCACAACGTTGTCGCGATGTTCATTCGATGACTAGGGAAGTGTCAGCAGTCCTGCTGGAGACCCTTCCTAGATACACTCTAACAATACCTGACAATCTAGGGTACAAAGTTACAGCTAATGGTTAGAAGAGTTCAATTAATCAGAAGAAAAGCCGGTTGATTAATATAAAAATATTCTGACCAACAAATAATAATGTTATCACCTCAGTAGTAAATGCAAAAATCAAATTGGATGTGAGACTTTTTTAAAATTCTTCGAAAACAAATTCAGCTTTGTAAAAAAAGAAATTGAAACTGGGGAGGAATTTTTTTGGGGGTTTGTTTCAGTTTGAAAAAAAAATTTGACGCAAAAAACAAGCACCACAAATAATCATCAGAATGGCTCAAGTGATATGTCATATTAAAGCCCTTTCAGTCGTGAGTCGGTCGACATCAAAAATTTGAAAAAGCTAATTCAGTGTCGAAGAAAACCAGTTTAAAAGTTTAGCTTTTCAGTCTAACTTTGAGCGAGTATAGCAAGTATAGCGAGGGGAAAAGGCTTTTAAACATAACTCTAAGGTTATTGTTGTTCCAACTTTCATAACGAAACTACTGGATTATCTGTGCTCGGGGCGGTTATTTTTCTGCAGACAAATTTCGACTTTTTAACTAGCCATTTTTGACAGATTTTTTTTATCAGTCAAAAAATATTCTTGTCCTGGGCGTAAATTTGAACATATATTTCACCTGTGATCAATTTTTGCAAGTTTATGGGGGTTTAAAGATTGCCATTTTGGCCAACTTGGGACAAAGAACCGTTATATTTTTTCGCGCTTTTAACGCGTAAGCAGAAACTTAACCCGTTTTAGAAATTGTTCCAAATTAGTTTAAGGAAGCTTATTTGCTTTAATTGATTTGTTACTAGAAACAAAATCTATCACTTTGTACTTTATATGGCGTGTGGGGTGATAAATTTTACAGAAATTCTCAAATTACCAAAATATCATTTCATTCTATTACATTTAACTTTTGCATGTTATTACTGCTCCACAGACCTTGAAAGGCAGTCGGAACATTCAAGGCTTTGCTCTGATACGAGCAATTTTTTTGATTTTCTGCTCAAAACATCAACAGTTTTCAGATACATTAGAAACTTCCAGTCAAAATTGCTGGCTAAAAGGACGGATTTTCTCGAAATACAAACAAGACTACTCGTATCAGGGCGAAGCCTTGAATGTTCCGACTGCCTTTTAAAGTTTTGTGGAGCAGTAATAACATTTGAAAATTAAATGAAAGAAAAAAAAATGAAAAATTTTTTTTTCTAAAATTTGAATGTTTTTTTTTGTGAAAATCATCCCCCCACACATACAAAGTATAAAAGAATGGATTTCGCTCCTTGTAACAAATCAATTATGGCAAATAAGTTTCTTTCAACCAAGTTGTAACAATTTTAAGACGGATTAACTCTCCGCTTACGCGTTAATAGAGCGAAATATATTGCGTGTTAATTGTCCCAAATTGGCCAAAATGGCAATCTTTAAACCCCAACAACTTTACGAAAAACGATCGCAGGTGAAATATATTTTCAAGTTTGAGCTCAGGACAGCAATGTTTTTCGAATAATATAAAACAATTGCGTCAAATCGTATCGAAAGTCAGAACAATTAGTCCAAAATGGAATGAGGCGAGCTAATTGGTCTTAATAGTTACAAACACAACTCAATTTTAACACTTACGATTTGAAGTTATCAGCATGAAATTCCTAGTTTGTCGACATTTCATCAACCAAAAACTATTTGAGACCAATAATGGCCAGCAGTGGGATTATTCAGGGCTTTGCCATGATACGAGCAGTCTTGTTTTTTCAATTTTCTTAACGAAAGTGACGGAATATTTGTGCTCGGGGTGGGTTTTTTTTCTTCAGACAAATTTCGATTTTTCAACTAGCCATTTTTGACAAGATTTTTTTTATATCATTCAAAAGGTATTGTATTCCTGAGCTTGAATTTGAAAAAAATATATATTTTAACTGTGATCATTTTTTGTAAAGTTATGGGGGTTTTAACAAAGCCATTTTGGCCAATTCAGGACAATTAATGCGCAATATATTTAGCGCTTTTAACGCATACGCAGGGATTCAATCCTTCGTAGAAATTGTTCCAAATTGGTTGAAGAAAGCTTATGTGCCATAAATGATTTGTTACTAGGAGCGAAGTTTATCACTTTGTATTATATGGCGTATGGGGGGATAATTCTCACAAACAATTTCAATTTTTTTTTCACAACTTTTATTTGATTTTTTTACATATAATTTTTTCATGCTATCACTGCTCCATATACCTGAAAGGGCAGTCGGAACATTCAGGGTTTCGCCCTGATACGGGCAGTCTTGTTTTACTTGTTATTGATTTCAGTTGTTTAAACTATTTCAGCCAGTCTTTACAAATAAAAATTAGCGAATTGGGCAAAAATTTTACATTTATAAGTTTTTTTTTTAAAAACTTTTTATCATTTTTCTACTCCACTTATGTTTAATTCAGGATTCTTTTTAATCATATTGAGTAAAAAAATACTCAAATTGAAAACTTGAAAGTCACCTGTTTGTTTTTTTTTTGAATTCGGAGCACTTTCAATGAGAGATGGTTATATATTCTTTTTTTATATATAAACTCAGCTATACTTTTGAAAATTTATATCATGCTTCGTGCTAGCAGTTCTCCTGAGTGATATAGGAGTTTTTATCCCACTCAGCTCATGAACGGAGGTTATTGTTGCGACCATTTGCCCAAGTGGGAATGAATTATGGCCTAGGGTGTGCATTTTCCTATGCATTTTCACTATTTCAATGAAAATTCTATTGGTAGAAATTTCTTTACTGATAGTTTTTGCAATTAAGACTCAAATCGACCTCGGTAAAATTTCTTGGACTCAAATCTTAGATAAAACTCTCTTTTTGACAATGATGAACATTTTTTACTTGAAACATAAGAACAATGAGTTGTAACGGTATAGTACGTTCTGTAATTGTGTCAACAAATTTTGAAATTTTGTCATTTTGTCAGCAAATTTTGTCATTTTGTCAGCTGAATTTCTACGAAAATCTTTTTTTCCCTCAATTTATTGCAACTTTTCTCTCAATTCTTCTTTATTGTTGATTAAGATAGTTACATTCTGTGTTAGTTTCAGAGCAACCAGCTACCCTTGTTTCGTTCTGTTATAGGAGTTGCCATTGCTTTGGCAAATCTTTACCTGCACTCCATGACTTTGACTCCAGTTGAAGCCCCCGAAGTGTTCGAGGCTGCCAAATTTCTCAAATTCAGACATCTCAAATATACGTAAGAGCATACACAATCATAAGCGAACGTGATAATCTACTGGACCGACAATTTAACACATGATTACTTACATTTTTTTGTGACCACTGAAAATTGAAGGGGACTTATGTTTAAGGGAGTTGGTTTTTTCCTCACAAAGACAGGTCGCACAAGTTATTTTCAGGTGAGGTCGAGTGGTATATGATGCTGAAGCGTTAGGGTTAATAGCCTGTGAAATATCAGGTTCAGTTGTGATTGGAGCTGTGGTCACACACAGGCGAAGCTTAGCTTTGCATCACTTGCCATACAACATAATCATAAAAAGGCATAGATCAAAAAAAATGTAAAACGTTGAAAAAACTAGGTGTACCAAAATTTTTGTATGTCTCGATGGAAGACATCTAGGGCCCTGCTAAAGCTCGAGGTACGTGTTTGAAGGTTATACTGATGCGTGTCAAAGTTTTATACTGATGCTGGAGTTTGAAGGTTATACTGATGCGGGTCAAAATGCGTAATTTCAAAAATTGGACTTTGCCCAAAACCTTAGTTTTTTCTCTTAAAAAATAATTGAGAGGAGTAAAAATGTTCGAAACTTTTGAATTTCACCAAAAACAACTTTTGTCTCACGAAGTAGCTGCCTCTGCAGGAAAAATTTGCGCAAACGCTTGTTCCGATTGAAATTTTCATCTCAGATATGATAGGTAGTTGTAAAGAAATTTCAAAAAATTTCTAAAAACGGACAAAAATCAAAAAATGACTTTTCGAAACCTATAAGAGCAGGTCGTGGTCGGTAGACTAGGGAAAATTCCCAAAATTGAGTTTCTGGATTGAAAACTTCAAGAATTGGCTCGGTAATTTTTGAGTAGAGTACAAAAACTTCCAGTAAACGGTCAAATATTCAAAACTTTTACTTGTCTGAAGGCCACAACTTTCTTCCTAAAAATTGGTCAAAAGAAATAATAAAGATAACTTTGCAACAGCCTGCTATGTCGATGAAACATATGATATGAGGTTTGGCAGGATAGTTATCGAGAAAAGTCCAAAAAACGGCCAAAAAAACAGGAAGTTGACTATTCCGAGAATCATAGTTTTTGTATTATAAAAATTGGGCGTAGCCGCTTATGCAGAAGAGATACACCCAACCTGTAATTTCAATTGAAATCAGAAACCCAGATTTGGCAGGGTGCTCCTCGAGAAATGTCATGAAGCTTCAAAAAACAGTAAAGAAATCAAAGTTTTGACTTTCCGAAGACCTCAATTTTCTGTATCAAAAAAATTTGGGCGTAGTTGCGTTTATAAAATTTAGAAAAATAATCGCTCAAAAATCAAAAAATTGATTTTTCCGAGGACGATAAATTTTTGTATTGAAAAAATGTGAAGAGCCGCCACTGCAGGGTGGTTAAAATTTGGCTAGTTTTTGAGAACGAAATGGAAAAGATTCAAAACGGCCAAAAAATCAATAATTTGACAATTCCGAGGGTCATAACTTTATCGTGTAAAAAAATTGGGCGTTGCCGCTTATGGAGGGCAGCTTTTGGATCCGTTTTTTAAATTAAAACCAAAATTTCAGATTTGGTAGGCTTGTTTTTGAGAAACCAAAAAAAAATCAAAAAATGTAGATCAAATATCCCCCCAGGGACTTTTAAAAGGCTGTAGACAAAAAAGTGAGACCAGTATGAAGCCACACAAGAATGTAGATGGTCTTTCTATAGATGCCCCTTTTTCGAAAATTGGAAGAAGGGTTTTTTGAGAGAAAAAAAATTAAAATTTTTGCAAAAGAGGATAAAATTTTCAAAGCGTCTCAAAAAAAACATAAAAAGTCCCATACCCTTTCATAATACCTGTTTTTATCAAACACGAGTTCTAGGAAAACATTCCAATTAAGACAATCTTCGAGCAGACACCATCTTTGAGCCGAAAAAAAACTGATTGTGTAGAAAAAAACTTTAGAAAGTTTCAAGTCCCCCTGAAACTACCCTGTAGTAACTAGTACCCACGCAGTAGTTGAATTTTGAATTAGGCATATTGATTCAACTGATTTTGTTAAACTAGTTGTTAACCCGAAAAAAAAGACTACATTCCGATTTGATAACGCTTGCTAATCGCAAGCGTAAAAAGTCCCAAATAATCCAGTGTCGAGAAAACTTATTCTGAAACTTTTTAAATTGGCATATATGATTGACACAATTTGTGGCTGCTTATTGAAGCTTGGTAACTCATTTTTTTGCAGATGCATAGAGATAATGATGTGCAACATCACAGTGGACAACGTGGGCACATTCTGTCAGTTGTCGGAGCTGCACAACATCAACCTTCTGAAGAATGCATGCATCCGTTGGTTGGCATACCATGCAGTGTCCGAGATGTCAGAGAGTCTAGAGCTGAAAAAGATATCTATCAAAATCATGCAGGAAGTCCTATCACACAAGCAGTACGTTGATAATTTCACTATTTTGAAAAACTATTGATTTTACTTTTAAAATATAGCAAACTAAACTGATCCACGCCTCTCTTAGAGTTACTCACTTTTTGATTACACTTACTATGTAAAATCATAGATAACATGTTTTGACAACATCAAATAAGGTACTAACCCAATTATGGCTAAAGAAAATATTTTTTTTTTGGTCGTTTCAGCCTATTTGTGAGCCATGAGTTCAACCTCTACACAATGCTGTGTTCATGGCTCTACCTGCAGGCCAACAAGACCACTCAGATGCCCCCATTTGGAACAATAGTCACCTACTTCAACAGGTAAGAACACATTTTCTGCAAAAGTTTGCAAAAATTGCCAAAATTAGTTATGCAAGAGTTAGTTAGTCAGTTCTCTTTTCAATTATGCAAAGTTGTTTATTTTCAAATAAATCTAAATGTAAACAAATACAGCCTTCTGTTAAATTTTGTGGTGACCCTAATGTATAAAAAAATGAAAATTTATTCACTTTTTTTCTCATTAACATTTTCAAAAAAAATATCTCCCTAAACTCATATGAGCATATTGATATTCATTTCACAGATGTTAATGCTTGTTCGCTGTTGTTTACGCGCCAAAAAACTTAATTTCTGCACCCCTTTAGTCTTCCAAAGTGGGTGTCGTTCCTGGGTCGGGATGAGACTGCCTCATCTCTCTACATGCCCCTGTTCACCCTACTCCGTCTCCATGCCCTCACTGACCCTGGACAACTGGAACTTCTGCAGAAGATGAATGTGCTGCCTCAGAACTGGCTGCTCAATCTAGTCACTATGAGCTACAGATCGGTCTGTTTTTTTTTCACATCCAAACTATGCTGCAATTTTTTTATCACAATTTTGGCGAAAACGCGAAAAAACCGAATGTTAAAGGCCATTCGCAAGTGAAAGTTAAAAGCCTAATTCATCTTTTGTCACACAACTTTGTTTCGACAGTTGTATCTGATTTATCTTTATGTTTACTTGAAATGATGATAAAAAAAACTGAAATTTTTTCGAGGCAGGCTTGTTATTTTTTGAGGCAAAGAGATTTAATTGCATAAAATCAAAAAAAATTGAAGCTCGCGTTATGCGTCAATTGCAGTTACAAGTGGGTGGTGACATGTCCCTTGTCATGGCCTTCGAGACGTCAGCTGCCAGGTATGGCCTAGTGGTCCATGACAACTTCACGAGACAGATAGAAGTGGTTAGTCTGCATGGGTTCTACTTCGAACTGTCTGCCACCCCTGAACAGCCTATAGAGAGCAGACTGAGTATGACAGATGGACAGGGTATAGGAAGGAGGGAGCAGGTGGCTCCTACTACATTCTACCTCCAAATTAAAGTAAAGATAAGAGGGGAAAATTATATAACATTTTTAGTTATCATTTAAAAATAGTTAAGAAAAAATCCAGAATTTTTTTTTTGAAATTGACGGCAATGGTGCTATGAAAACAGTCAAATGGAAGAACTTTTCGATGAATAGTTTCAAAATTTGTTTGATTAAAAGACCCAATATTCAGTTTTTTTTTCTCATAATTTAGATAGTCCTTTTTAAACGAATGAAAAGTTTTTTTTGAAACACTTTCTTGCCCTCTGCACTGACTGATTTTACTTTTTAGCGACTCAAACCATCTGATCCTTCGCTCTCACTGGGAAGCAAAGAGAAGTACACTTTCTCCATGCGACAAGACAGAGAGCTCATCTATGGAATCACAGGCCAGTGGTTCGACTCCCACTCGCGTCAATTCTGTGTGGCAGAGTCAACAATCAAACGACAGCGATTCGCGTTCTCGGCTAAAATGTCTAAAAGCGAGGTAAGTTTTTCATTTTTTTGTACATGTTGCTTGGACTTCAGTGAGGTATACTTATTCATATAACAAGAAACACGGCGGTAGCTTGAGAGAAAAAAACGCCTGCAAAATTAATGAGTCATCAATGAATTCTTTTTGTTTCAGATGCTGCAGATTACCCCAGGGGAACTGCCATTCAAAGTACAATTTGCTCTCCTCTTCCCACCTTCGTGATATGAAAACCAGGGGAAAAGTGATCCTTACTAGAAATAGTGTTCTATAAATAATACGACTTTGAAATAAATTCTCGAAACCAAGATAAATTTTAGAAGCTGTTTGAGTTCTTAAGAGAACTTGAAGTGATTTAGGTACGCAAGCTGGCAGGATCACTAAACCACTCTCACCACCCCAAACTTGCTCTTTTCTGATACATCTTTTCGGTCGATCAGCATTAAAACTTTTCTGACGGCGATTTTGGTGCCAATAACTACTAAAGTTGACAAAGGCCAGCGCCAAAAAAAAACAACTTTTTACACAAAATCTTACAAAAGAGCCTAATGACGCCGTTTTGACGCTTTTCGTGGCACCAATTTTAAAGCAAACATGGTTTTTATAATGTTTTGTGAAACCTGAAATTTTTTTGGAAAAATTACCTTCGATAAAATTCTAGATCCGCCACTGCTAAATGGTAAGCTTTGTTGAACTGTTAGAGACCTTATATATTTCTCGATGAAATGCTATATGACTTTGTACTTATTGATAGAAAAAACCCCAAAGTTTGCAGACGAAAGTTACACAAGAAAGCTCAACTGGCGATCTTTGAGAAATTTGAATTGGACCAGGCGGCATATCCGGTCGTTAGGGCTAGCAAAAAGATCACATGTTTTTGTGAGCAGCATCATAACAAGGTTTCATTAGTTTCAGATTTCTAATTATAACGAAGGAAAATTGCCACCAACAATCTATGACCTAAAGAATCCGACCGACTATTCAAATATCATAATATATTACTACAACCGATTGTGTAACACTGGAAAATTTAGTATCAAAAATCCTTTTTCAAAGTTTGTTGACGTTTTCAGTCATGTTTTGAGTATGGAAAAAACGCAAGCTGAAGCTCTAAAAACTATATATTCACAATTCATGAAACAATTTGAGTCAACCAGCCCGGACGCTTATCCCGAAGGTTAATTATTTCAGTTGACAAGATCGAATATAACCAGCACCCATTAAGCGATGACTCACTTGCAAGAGCACAAGTAGCAAACTGCAGCACATGATCAATTTGAACCCGCAATCAAATGATTGCTGGGCATCATCACTATCGGATCGTCACGATGCCAGAATTAAAATTAAAAACATAACTTAGGTCTAAGTATTTTTCCTTGATAAATCGTCTATATTAACTTTGCTTAATACATAGTTTGCACCACGAGTTAGCATGAAAGCTTGAATTTTCTACCAATTTAATTCAGAACTGAGAAAAAATTATCAATTTTTTTTCTAGTCTTGCAATCCAAGCCTGAATATTTTTTAATTGATAACGGCATTCGAATTCAAACGGCGCCTTTTATGAAACCCAATACTAAGTTTCTCCTAATTTTGAGTGAAAGCAAAAAAAAACGAAATTGTTTTAAAATTATTTAAAAAACACTTTATCATTGAACAATTTAATTTTTTTTGCTTTTTGCTAAGAAAAACTTTGGGAATTTTTTAATGTGGTTCAAATCACCACTGAAAAGGCTTAAATATGGCATATCACTCAAAACAGTCCGATAATTTTTTGTGTTACCTGATTTTGGGTGGTAAACAAAAAGACTAAAACACACACGAGTACAAAGTTTTTCACCATTTTCAATGGTCAAAACAACAAACTGTATTTACTTTTTTGAAATAGATGAATCAGTCTGAGAACAAAAAATATCAGAGAAAATAAAAAATACCCGTACCTAAAACTATACTGCAGGACTGATCCCTCGAGGATTGTAAAACACAGTAAAAATTCTAGTAAGACATGATTCAACCTTGCATCATCCCCTGATCTGTTTACTTTTCAAGCAAAATGCAAGTTACGCAACGATAAAAGATGAAAATTTGAAAAAGACTGCTCGTATTCAGGAGGCTAAACCCAGGTTGTTCTGACTGGCATTTAATGTTGATGAAAATAGTTTCGATTTACAAATTGTTAACAATTTGCAAAAAAGCAATTTTTTAAAATCAGTCAATTTTTTTTTTCAATTTTTTTCCGCACTCGCCATCGAAAGTACGAAAAGATATATGCTAACTCTCGTAAGGTCTGAAAAAAGCATTATGTTTGACTCGATGCAATTTGTCATGTAATAATTTACCAATTACATTTTATAATAAATTAAAATATTGCTAATTAGCTATCCCAGTTGAAGTTTTAGAGGTCAAAGTAGTCACTATTTTGAACCCCATAAATTAAGAACAAATTATCGCAAAATGAATTTTTTTAATTCTTAATTTTTGGACATCAAAATCTGAAAAAAAGTTCCCTGTACGTTATCTGAATCCTTTTTCTTTTTTGAGATACTTTTGAATGAGTCAATGGCGAATTGACTTTTCCTGGAGATTTAAAGGCTAATAAATTTTTGCAAAAATCGCTACACAGATTCAAAATAGTTTTTAAAGTACAGTAAAAACGTAGAAAAATATAGTAAAAGTAAAAAAAAAAACAGAAACCCTATCAAAGTTTTCTAAGTAAACAGGCGCATTTGTGCAGTGCATAAAGGAAAAGTGCAATTGATTGTTTTTTTTTCTAATCAAAACCCTGCTAAATAAGCAGCGCAATAGTTGTAAAATTAAGGTCAGTCTTCAATTTCAACAATTAACCTAAAATTTTCAAAAGTTTAGGAAACCTTCCCGTGAAATAGTGAAATAGTTGATACGGCACCTTTAATGAGTTATACGAGTGCTTTATTGTAGGTAAAGAATTTGTAATGAAAAAATCTGGGTTCACAGTTTTTCTAGCGGCTATTGAGAAAAATCAATCGAAAAAAATACAGGTATAAGGCTCCATTTGTATCATTCATCCATATTTAACTACTTGTTGAAGTAATTTAGTTGAAGGAAGTTCTTTATTGCGGCTCAAGGTAGTTTTTTTTGTCTAGAATTTTCATGTGGTACCCCTATTGCAGCTGAACTTGGCCAGACTGTGGTAGACTTGAAGCTAGAGGTCAAGTGAAAATTGGTCCTTACAAAAATTTATTACCACGGCATGGGATCGGTTGCACGATTTGGCGATCTCAAATTGAACGCCTTTCCGTTATGCTAAGTGCGTCTTTCCTGCGTGGTGATCAAGGCCGTACAAAATTGATACTGAGGCAGTAAATTTAGTTTTCAAAGTTTTTAGCGCCACTTTTGGGAGCCAAATCCATAAAAACAATTTTTTGGTTGCTGTATGAGAAAAATTGTAGTCAAAAGTGCCTAATTCACTCGCACGATCGAAGTTTTTGACATTCGTTCTCAGATATTCTCGTTTTTTACTCTGGTCGGAATGTTCTGTGCTACTTGTACAGCAACCGGCTATCCTTGTTTCCTTTTTTGTTTAGCTCGCAAAATCAACACCACGAACAATTATTGGAATAGGCGAAGTAATAGATCAAATTAAAGCCTTCTAATCATTGTTCACACAACATTAAAAGAAAATGACAATGTTTTCAGTGTCAGAAGAAAAACTGCTTTAGTTTTTTTTTTGGGTTTTAGTTCAATTTGGAGCGGGTGAAGCAAGCGAGCAAGCTTATCATAGAAAGATAACCTGTCAAATTTTTGTGCAGGCCCTGAAAATTTAGTTTTACTTCAGTAAAAAAAAGTTTTTTGAAATTGTTTTTGCGACATTTTGGGAATAAAAAATTTCCAGAACAAGTTTTTTGCCTTTTTCAGCATGACTGTCAAATTTGTCATGTTTTTTTTCTAGTTTTTTCCTTAAATATGTTCGGAACATTTTTTGCTACATGCACATCAACCGGCTATCTTTATAATTTGAGTTTCTAGGCTTCAGATAATTCGACTAAATCGAGAACGCTTTTTCTATTTGTTTCGATTCTGCAGAAATTATTGCAAATTTTGGAATAAAGTAATTTGAGTTTCTTTGCTTTAGTCAATTCGGCCAAACTGAGAACGTGATTTCTATTTGTTTCAACCCTGCGGAATTTGATGCTAATTCTGGAATAACTACCGTTTTTTACCGAAGAAAAACTACTAAACGACGTGTGATATCCTCTTACGATATGATATACGTTATCTCGACGTATTTCGACACTCAAAAAAAGAAGAACGTGGGTTTGAAATTGAATAGAGGAGGTTGTCATTGGTATTCAACGTACTAACGAACAGACAGTAGTCAATAAAGTGTTTTATATGCGCCTCGTCATGTGACTGAAACTTAATAGCTTGCAAGTGGTTTGTGCATTTGAGCTTTTGGCAGAGGTTACACTTTCAAAGTTAAGGTGACATTTTTGTCCTTTGCTTGCAACAAACTAACTTCCATCGAAAACGCCTGATTTAAGCTCACAAAAACGTGTTCTATTTGATACCGTTGCGTTTTGTCGTAGAGGTTAAAACAGAAACAGGTATCCGAAAACATGAAAACAAACCTTAATTTGGTCAAAGTTGCGTCAATATTTGTCAGAATTCAGTCGTTTTTGTTGACCGAGTATGATTTAAACTCGGTACTTAATCGAAAACAGTAAACTTCATTTTAAAGCTAAGCTCTCTACTGGAAAGACTGGTTTTCTCCATCAAAAAATTCTAATTCAACACTTAATCCAAAAAAACTGATCTCAAACTAGAAACACATCAATAAATCAGACTAAAAATCTTTAACATCCAAAATAAAAATAATCTAAAATGCATTTTAAAGTAGTTTTGATCTGGCTCGCTGCCAACATTCTCACAGTTTCTTGTATTGTGACGATGCCAGGGGTCTGTCCAAATATTCCGACAATGTCTTTCAACAAGGCTGATTTTGCTGGCGCCTGGTATATTCTGGGCCGAGACACGGATAACGATATGGAACCGTGTCAGGAAGCATTCTTCGCCCCACTGGACCAAAATGGTTGGTTGTCATTTATTAAACCTACTTAGCGTATACCTTATATGCAGAAAGTTTTTTTAAGGTTTAAACTTACAGCTTTTAAAGTTGATAATAAAGTAAGTTGTTGAAAAAACAGAGCTCAAATTCTGATGATAAAATTGATCTGCTCGAAAACATAAATGTAAAATATTTTTAAATACATTTTCGCTGCAGTTTGAAAAATACGATTTTGTCAATTTTCAGTGCAGTGTGC